GTGGTGCTCAGTTGCTGACTGGGGTTAAACCACGACAATTCATTAGTCAGTGGGGTGTTCAAACACTGGAATCTGCATGCTTGGGAAGGGGGCTTGCAATGCAGATTTCTCCTTTTTGGAGTTTAGTGGAGTCATATCAAGATCTTCCTTCCCTTCCCAACACCAGATGACCTTCCAAAATGTATGATCCTGCAGGCTGAGAAAATTAACCTCACTGTAGAGGGAGTAAATGGAGACACGCTGGGCTCATTGACTGTTTTTCTCTTTCAGACCTGTGTCCAAACATTTTGAAGGAAACAAGAGAAACTGTTTGCTTATTACAGAGTAGAAAACCAAACATTATCATGACCCCTAAACATCTCTGGCAAAGGACCAACTCTGAGACATATCAGAGAAATGACAAGTGAAAAAGTTTTGACTTATTCTTCATTCTTAGCTGAAAAGATGCTTCATTGTGGTCTGAGGTAGTGACAATGCATGAGATGATAGAAATGGCTGAGACAAGAATTGCTAGAGAAAATGTTTCTAAAACTCCCCATATTCTAATGTTCTTTCTCAGCTCTGGACAAGGTCAGGTCCACTGAAACTTAGGCAGTGCACATGATTTATAAAGCAATTTTTCCTGTAACTTCTAGAATCAGTTATGCCTCCGTACTGAAAATCACCTCAAACAAAAAAATTCATGTTTCCTTTGCATTATTTGTCTATTCAGGCCTTAATTTCTCACTAATTTTAGATACTGTTTAAGCAAGCTGGATGATCTCTCCTGTATGAGAAAAGAATAGTCCCTATGATAAAACATGTATTGCAACCATCTTTATGACATATATTTCTACTAGATGCTTCTGAACAGATCATAATGAGAAAACCACTATCACTCCAAAATATAGCACTCTATTGATCTTTCAGTATATTTTGATACAAAAGTAGGCAACAAAATCACAAATGGTAACAAGCTTTCAAGAAAAAAAAACCACCAAACACCAAACCAAAAGCCAATTTTATAAGTCAAAGTAGCCATGCAGGACAAGGTGATGGGATTTCTTGCATCATATGCAAAGTCTAAAAATGTTACATCCAAACCTGTTTCTCCCACAACTCCTTAAACTACTAAGCCTCTTCACCTCAGTCTTTCTCTGCAACAGAATCACTGTTAGAAAAAAAAATCTTGCAGTCATTTGATGGGCCTCACTGACTGACAATGTTTTTTTTTCTGAGGATGAGAGTTATGTTCTCTGGAATGAATTAATCTCAAGAAGTGTGCCGAAACTCTTTGTGGGGTTGAAAACTTAGTAAGTCCATGAACAGATTAAAATGAATTGTTGGAATATGTTTTCTATGCTCTGTATTTTTTTCACCTATGCAATACCATTTATTATATTATTTACTGAGCAAAGTCATCATGATCTTAGAGGGACGAACTCAGTCCATGATGAAAGTCTAGAATACAACTTGTAGGTGTTTTCCAAAGGGGGAAATGACAACATGTATTCTGACCTCTTCAGGTTACCTTGGCCATAGTGTTAGCAATGTATATGGAGGCACTCTTCAACCATGTTCTGAAAAACTAAGAGAACTGGAATTTCAGCAGGTTTTTTTTTTTGTACTGTCACAAAATGAGCTGTAATCTGGCTTTACAGTGACTTAGGTATGGTAATACATAGTTTAACATTCCAACGTAGAAGCATTTCAGGTTTTTAAAAAATTAACCAGCTCAGTCTCCTATCAGTTTTCACTGTACAGCCTTGAAATCTTAATGACAACTGAGTTAAATCCACATTATGAAAATTCATGGATATTTCATTAAAAGTAGGTACAAGTCAGTGAAAAAATTGAGGTGGGATTTTGCAAGAAAGTCGAGTTATATTGGTAGACTTAGTCTGCAATTTTAGAAACTGGATCAGAGTTGCACAAAGAGGGAAGAACTCTCCTTCAGGCTTGTTTGTGCAGATGGCAAACAAATCTGACACACAAAATTCTATTTATAAACCCTCCGTCTAAACTGAAGACTTGAATATAGCAGCATAGCAATCACTTTTACTGGGCTTTCCTTGCCAATAAGATTGACACAAATATGCTTGCACAGAAGGTAAACCTTCTCCTTCCAAGCTTTATAGAGAGTAGTAACATCTTCAAACTAATCCCACACTCTGAAATTATATAATCTATCTCACAATGAAAAACAATGTTATGAGCACTATTACCTCTTATATCGTTCGTGGTAAGGCTGAATCTGTTCCTGAAGTTTTACATACACACGTTTTCCTATTTTCTTTAATCTTTGAAAGTACCTAACATCAACAGGCCCTATGAACCTATAAAGCCCTGAACAACCTGGTCTCATAGCTGATCTTACTGCAAGCAGGAAGTTGGTCTAGAAAATTCCAGAGGGGTATTCCAACATGAACTGTCATATGATTCCATAATACTAAAATGTGACAATTATGTGACGGTTGTGTGCAAATAATGTGAAGATTAAAAAATATAATCAAATAAGAACATATCCATGGTCCAAAATAAAATTGTTCTCTCAAAAATATCTCAGTACAATTCTAAAGGAAAGTCTACTACTATAAGCCCATCCTCATGAAGTACACTTAGAGTTAATAACATTCCCTTTAAAAGCTAATCTGAGTTACATTTTTCCTGCAAGAAAGCAATAATACTGGAAGAGACATCATAGTTTGTTGTTATCTTATGTCATATTCCAGGGAGAGTTCAAATTACTTTACTGAGAAAAGTCACCTAGTTTCAACTTCAGCAGTGCTATAGCATCTGTTAGAGGCAGCTGCTGTGGCAAACATAACCATTATCCCCACCAGCCTCTTACTCTAATACAGAGAAATTAATCTGGAGGCACACAGGATCCCCTGTCTACCTGTGTAATACATGCAAGGACAACTTCCTCCATTCCATATCAAGAAGTGCACGATGAGATTGAATGGAGAGGATACAGCCTTCTTAGACTAGCACACTGCTTACAGGGACCAAGTTATACTTGTCAGATTGATAGAACTAGAAGCAGTAATGAATGAATACCTGTGCTCAACTGTCACCAAAACTGTACATGGCAAACTAGCTTTTTAGAAGAAGAAACTATTACGGTAACCATGCAGCATCTCCAAGTACTTGAGGTAACAAGGCCTATCTGTATTACGTTGTCATTACCTTCCACAACTTATCGAAGAAAAATTTAGGAAAATCTAGGTATACTCCTGCATAGGCAATACAAAGAAGATAGTTAGGAGAGGCTGTTTGTTTACTAAAAGGTTCTAGAGAGGTAGGCTAGATGCTGTGCAAGAAGCTATCTCAACAACTCAGTACTGAAGCTTGTTAGTAAGCAGCCCTTATTTCCCACGTACCTTTCATTGAAGAGAGGCATCATTCTATTCTGTTCTCATGAAAAAGGTCTGTTGTGGCCATTAAAAAAAAAGATTTATCCAAAAGAATTTTGAAAGAATTAGGAAGTGAAACTTGGTGGAAGGCTTCCATTTCATAAAAACCTTTCAGATTTATTTCCATACAGAATAGAAACATCCTAATGTCTGGAGGAAAGAAAATTCCAAATGCACACAAAATGAAAATGTGTTGTTCTCAAAACCTCAAAGGCATTATCTACTCAATATAGTATATATATACATTTTAAAATATAGGAATCAAAAAACCCTCTAATATCAACAATTATATCAACCCTCAATTTGGTCAACATCACCAAAACAAAGTGAGAAAGAGAAAATAATTAAGATACTTCCCACCTGAAGAACTCATCAAAAGGAACATATTAATTCTGGTTTTGATTAAACAACATTTTCCAGCAGTAATTTTTCAGCCAAAACTACTGAGCAGAGCTGAGCAAAGTCTTACAAAGGCAGGACAAACAAACATTCCAAAACTGAGAACTGGACAAAAGATTTACCAGCAGACTGTCTGAATCCTGATTACCATTTGAATCCTTGTTTTTATCTCCTTTGACGATAAAATTAGATTTTTATGACTGTGTCTGTGAAGTTTGGTGGGGGCAGAGGGGAGGAAAGAAAACGAGGCATCAGTTTTGTCAACCTGGGGGACACAGTGATTTGTGAGAGTCAGTAATAATAGCGGGGGGGGGGGGGGAAAGGGGAGAATTTTGGAGAAAAGTGGTTGCTATCAATGTGGTCTGTGCTTGGGACAGAGAATTTGATCCATCACTGTAGGCCCGTAGCCCTATTCTTAGATACTGTCCTCTTGGTTCACTGAGCTTGGTGAATTTCGGTTTACTACCAGAGGTTACAGGTTCCTCACAACATGCAGTTTCTGAGACATCTGCTTCATGAAATACTGTGAGTTTGCCCGCAGCAGTCCCTCTTGCTGGAACTTCACAGAGGAAACAGCAGAGAAATAATTTTTCATTTCTGTTGAGGCTTTTACTTGCAGGAAGCACAGATTTATCCCAGTCAGATTTTTATATAAGTCTCCCTCCATTTAATACGCACGACACAGGCATCTGTGTTAGCCTGTCAGGGAACTGTCATTTAACAGACACTCATTACCTTTCCTATCACTTCATCAGGTTTTGATGAGCCTGATTTAACTTTGAAATTAGCCCTGTGTTGAGCAGGAGGCTTGGTCCAGAGATCTCCAGTGCCTTCTCATCTAAATGTTTCTACAGTTCAATGAAGAAAAGTTCTCCATAGAGTCTTAGGGCCAATATACTCCATTATTCTCTTCATAGGATGTTTGGAGGAGATGGTGATCTAGCTACCCTCATAAAAATAGCAAAATCTGAATTTGAGATTAATGATTATCTGTATTTCATAGAACTTCATAGTTAAACAGTTAAACATAAATCTGAATTCCTATTGTCCTGTAACAAAACAGTTAATAGTGCACATGCATTCATTAAAATTAAAGGTTTTCAAAGGATTTGTTAATATTTGTAAAAACAAATGATTCTTAAAAATGAATCCTAAGACAGCTACGAAAATGACCACAGACACAAATGCAAAAAAGTCTGCACTTACAGTTCTATTGCCTTGTTCCACATGATAACATATCCAGAAAGAATGAAGGACTCAATATTTACAATGTGTGTATTTCCCCTCTCTGTTCCAACATAAAGCCATTTACTCTGGAAAGGTAGATGGCAGTAAGTAATCCTGGAAAGGAAGAACAAAAAAAGTGACTGAATATCGTATCAACAATATTTTTTAACACTTTTGCAGATGAAATAATTGTTCTTTCCATTTTATAACTTGAGAAAAGCCTGCCCAGCAGGCACAGCATTCTGAAGAATGTGCAGGTTTCAGGGTCATCTCCAGAAAAATCATAAAAGAGAACATGAAACAAAACAGGGCCATCCTGCCTGCTTGTATTAAGGGCAGGAAAAAAGAGCCGTATCACTTGAGCACTGAACTAAGTCATGAGTATGTAAATTGCACCATGACAGTATCCAAGACTCTCAAGTTAGGCTTTCTTATTTCCTTTCTTAGAATAAGCAATTTTTCCAGTTCAACAAACAGAAGTTAATGGACATCAGCAGGATTAGTGTTTTGTACAACAGAAGTGTAACACCATGATTCACACAAGAAAACATTCACTTTATTTGCTATCTGGGAGCATAGGGCACTAGATAAGAGCATTACCAAGTGCAGTTAAGTATTACATCATAGACACGCAGAATCCTACACTCATATCATTCTTACAGGGTGATGAACCAGTGCTGTATTAGCTTGGAAAGATGTCATGACAGTTTCTCATAATAATATACACAAGTTTTCACAGATGATGAATGAGTAGATTCAGGTTTCTTTGATATTTTAGTTATTATATAGATATTACATACATTCAAGCAAAACAATCTATAAGAAATAAAAACCCATTTGCTGCTAAAATGTAATGGAATGCATGCTACCTACAGAGACTGAAGCTTAATCTGATTTTATGGTATAGGCTCAGAAATTTTGACAAAAAGCAGATATTTTGCTTGGTATGCCATACATTATCATATTTATCATTCAGCTCCACAAGCAGGCTATTTCTAGCTTTTATATACAAACTTGATTTAACAGCTATGCAATAATTTTTATCCTTAACACCTTCGTCCCCCACAGATGTATAAACAGTATTTAAGAACATACATATTTCAATTTTTTATTCTTATGGTACAGCAATCTTTCTGAATTAATTATAGAGGAGTGAGAGGGGTGCTGGCTATCGTCCAGTAATTTGGCCCTCTCAGTCATGTAAAGTCCTCTGAGTAGAACATTTGCCACTCTCTGAATTAAAGGAGTTGTTTAATATACAAATTTCACATAATTTCTGTAATTGTTCCCTGTGAGATACTCTCAACAAATGGAAAGACTCCAAACAGATTCTACATGGTATTTGGATAGTTCTGCAGTTTTCCAAGTATCTAATCATGTGTCAGAACATTAACGTTGAATGCATTCAAGAGAGCAAAATTTTTTTTTGGCCTTATTTATCACACTGGATTGAACACAGTTGAAATATGCAGTCTTCACATTCTAATTTATGGGGAAAATTATCACTGAATCATGAATGCAGCATAAGGCTTACCCTTCACAGAAATCTTGTTTTGTTGATTCAAGTGAGACTTACGTATGATATAGGCTTTGTGCTACCCATCTGTACAAGGTTAAATTTTACCATTAGTTGTCTAATTTTGGCAATAATTCCACTGCCTTTAGTGGAAAGAGAACCAAGTTTTTCAAGATAATTGCTTTGAGAATGGGAATTACAGTTTAGTATGCATAACTGAAAATGCCTTCCAGCAGTAACTTAGAACTTGTATTGTGGGTGCAGTCAGATAGACAAATATCTGACAGAAAAAACTGCAGAAGGTATATGCCACCTACATATTCCTTGCTGGAGTTAAAGCTGTTAGCTTTATTGTTCTGTTCATAACAGATGCAAAGAACAATTTGCCCTTTTCACTTTGTAGTTTTACAAATGTGAAGCTGGTTTTCACATTTTTACTGATCCTTCTTCGTAAACTAAACAATTTATTTTGCTTTCTCTTCAGATGCACCATTTGCTACACTTCTGGTTAGATTCATATTTAGTCTGAATTTTTTTTATTTCTTGCATTTCTGTACTAGCTCTACTTTTCTTTCTTGCACTCCAAAACATATGCATGCTCTGTTAGGTCCCAGCCCATGCAAAAACCTCCCTCTTCCCTGGTTGATAAATCCTCTTAACCACTTCACACTGATGTTCTTTCAGCATTTGTTTGTAGTAAACTGTTAAATTACAGGAAGAGAAAATACTTATGAATTTGAAAGTGCTGAAAATATATGTCTAGTGACTGACAAATAACTCACGAGTTACAAAGTGAATCCTAGTTGACTTGAATGCTGCTACTCCAAGTTCTTGCAGCTGCGCCATCCAACTAAGCAAGTTCAAGTCCACCTAGGACCATATTAATTTTCAGTACTCTGATAAATCCATTCACAAGCCAGTACAGTGTACTGCAGAAAACTTGGTCTCCAAAGCGCAAGACTGAATCCAATACTCTGATTATGAATAAAGTCTCAAAATAACCTCAGACACAATATGAGACTGCTGTGGTCTGCTTTTCTTCCTTTTTGAAATCTGCTTCTAGGTTATGATTTCTAGCATGTACTGCCACAACAACCATCAGACTAAATGGGTGTCCAATTTCCTAGCTACTGCATGTCCTCCATTTGCCCACCTTGGGTTTAAAATTTCAAGAACATAATGTTTCAAGAGCAAGGTCCTACAGTAAGAGAAAAATCAGACTAAAGTACTAACCACTGGCCATCAGTTACCAGACTTATTTTCCTGCTGGCCTATCTGAAATCCCAGGCACCAGTAGCTACTAATCTAGATATATAGTATGAAGGACCAGAAGACAATTAGGTGTTGCTAAAGAATGAAGAAAATGACCACAAATTTTACTGCTTTCTTAAGCTCAGCTACTTCCTCTTAAATAATTTGATTTTGTTTTGACAGATTTATGGGAGAGCCAGATAAGAAAGTATTCTGCATGTTCTTTCTTCCACAATGAAAACTACCCTATAAGTCTTCATTGTTTACCCAAACTGTTATTACACATTATCAAATACCACCTTTTACAATATGTGAGCTTATAAGAAAATGCTATTCCCTTAAAGACAATCCAGATATGTAACAAACCTATTAGAGCATAGGGATTATAGGCATTTTAATATGATACATTGTTAGGCTTCACCAAACAAAGCCATATGAATTTCATATTCTCAGAAAAGTATGCACTGTTCTGAAGTAGTTTTCTTTTACATTATGTAAATTAAATGCAAACTGCTTTATGTATTATTGACTTTTCACTTTTACAGAAAATATTAACTTCACTTTGAGACTTGAAAGCTTTGAAGCAAGACTCAGATTTTTAATGAACATCTTCCATTTCAGTAAGTACTGAAATTACATAACAATTTCTTCAAGAGAAAACAATGAAGTCTCATATTGTAGTTTTCATTGTGGATTAAAGGTATCCCTCTATTAGTCATGTATCCCATAAGCAAATTCAGATGTCCTTTGATGCCTTTACAAAAAACAGTCAATTAGCCAGAAAGAAAGGCTATTTTTCTTCTTAAAAAGGTAGGGATTGTAGTGATTTATGCCAGTATGAATTGTTTCTGCCAAAAATTTAATCAGATTGTCAATCTGATTGAGGTAACATGGAACTCAATTAAATGGAGACCTGAGAATTTGCTCAATGTTGATCACTTAGAGAAAGTCAGCCAGAAATGTGGATATTATACATTCTTAGCAGCAAACTGCAATACAAATCTCATTGTATTAATCATTATAAGAAATAGTAAAAAACATGGACTGATACCAAAACCGGTGTTCCTATGCTGCCAAAATGATCTGGAACATTGTATCAGTTTCCAATGTATCAAAGCACAAAACAGGATATAAAATGTAATTTAAAAAAAAAAAATCAGTAGGTGCCAAATAAAACACCTAAATCAGAATTTATTAAGCAAAAACTCTTCAGCAAAAGTCCTGAAAACACTTCTAAAATTATGTAAGCAATATAAGAGAGATAATGGAATAACTTAAAGAGGCATTGTCAAAAAAATTGAACCTCATTTTAGAAAGGAATATATTCTGACTAGCAAATCCGAAAAGGTATATTTTTCAGAAAATCACAGCACTCTACAGTCTAACAACTCTGACCAAAAAAACTCATTGCATATTAGTAGACTACTACAACGTTAAAATAATTTAGATTGCTACATTCTCTGAAATACTAGTAAAAACTCTCAGAGGGCTTAAAATCATCTTTATTACACTAATCATATTTTTCTAAGAAAAACAAAAGATAATGTTGAGAACATTTCCTTCTGCCTCTGCCTTGTTATTTTTGTTTTTCTATTTTTAGTATGAAAAATTTTCCTGGAACACTATTCCTGGTGTGATGAGAGCTGCGGAAGGGGGGAGAATAAATTGCATTTTTGTCAAAACGATGAACAGTTTTTCCAATTTAATTATTTAATTGCTCATTCCCTGACATCAAAACTGCAACTAAATTTACATTTTCCCCTCCCCGCTCCCTTAACCTTTTGGTATTTTTGAACAAAAGTAATATGAAAGTCCTCACTGACATACAAAGAAGACCAGAGTCATCTAGTGCCCCTCCTTCTCCAGTGGTTGAAAGCAGGCTGGCCTTTCTGAGGGAGCTTCTGCCTAGCCAGTAATCTCAGAAAGTGTCGGGTTGCTTTCTGTCAGTTCACAAGGCAATGTTATAGCTGAGTTTATTGCTTTAAGTCATGAAATGCACACAAGAACATCTAGACAGATACGCAAGCAAAGTAATTTGTAGCTGACCTGAAGTGCTGAAATAGAAGCACAGGCTAAAGCTACAGACAATGAAGAAAAGGAGTTGTCTCCAGCAGATCACGCAAAAGATGTACATTATGAGCTATTTGGCCTCTGGAGGTATTCAGTCTTCTCCCTGCACTATATATAAATTTGGAGCTCATCAGCTATGTAAGACATGTAAAAGACATGCACAACAGCAGCAATCCATACAGTCTGCCGTTGATATCATGTGAGGTGTTTGCAGCAGGTGGTTGTGCAGTTCCCTAGACAGATGTGAGCTGGTACTGTGCATAGTAATGATAATAGT